CAAATTCCCAGCACGCACACCGCACACATACATGCACACAAGCACACACCATTTCCTGACAGTTATAATGATCAGTGGAGCAACTTGCTTCCAAAAGTTATGAATGCTCTAACACTGGAAGTTTTAAAGAAGAGATTGGACAACCATTTGACTGAAACGGTATAGGGTTTCCTGCCTGAGGAGGAGTTTGGACTCGAAGATCTCCAAGGTTCCTTCCAGCTCTATTATTTTATTCTATTCTAGTTTGCTGCTACCTTTTTTCATGATGTTTTTGTCAATTTTCCTATCTCGCCTATTGCTCTGGGACTTTCTTCCATCCATATACAAACCATGTTTTCACTTTTGCTTTTATGAGATCAGCCAAAATCAGCTATATATTGCCACCTGCTGTGTAGACACAGCTAACAATAATTTGCACATTTCCATTTTGTTCAGGAAATAAAATTCTGGAGCTTCATTTTACTTTGTGAGCATTTTAAATAAATGAAACTTAAGGTTGCCCTCACATAAATGATAATAATTATAGAAATCATGAGCTAAGTTATTTTGTTACTTACCAAGGTTCTATAAATACTATGGAAATAATTATTTTATACATCATAAGTTGCAAAGTATTTTGTTGTCAGTAGATGGTGCTATGCCTATAATATTAATGCTAGTACCAATTCAGGCAACATCAATGAACAGTCTCATTAGTAAAGTCATTTTCTTTTGTACATATAACATTGTAAATTATGATTCCTCCCCCCCCCCCCCCCCCCCGCAGCCCAGCTGTGAAGAAAACCCTAAAAAGTCTTAATAACCTTGAGAAATTACAATGGCCCCAACCCTGTTAGCCTTCCGTAAAGCTTTAAAGACCTGGCTATCTACGTGTGCCAAGGGCCCCATCTCCTGGCTATATTGTTGAGAGGCCAGATGTCTTGCTGTGCATATATTCAAATTAGATGTTTTAATGCTTTTTAGTGTTTTTAATGTTTTTATTGTTTTAAAAGATTTTAAAGATTTTAATTATATGTGTCTGAATTTTGAGCCACCCAGAGTCTCACAAAGTCTGGATGGGAAACTTCCTTCGGCCAGCAAGATGTTTGATACAGCCCTAAAACTATAATTGCCAATGTCATTTTGAACTGTGGCACAGCCACATTTAGAATACTGTACTGGTTACAATTACATTTAATAAAAGTATTGGAAGATCTTCACACCACAGAAGCTTTAAATAAATGGATGTTGATATAGTTTTGCTATGAACAAAGGACTTAATTAGAATGGAGAACAGCATGGAGCTAAATCCATAAAACTAGATTATTTCATGCCAATGAAAACTTTTCACTAATTCTTGTTTCATTGTTTAGTGAAAGTAATAGTCAAAAACATTTTTATGCCCATGTTCTCAGGGTCTAAACCACTTCATTCAGACTAAGATAGCCAGATTGTTTACTAGGATATATACTGTAGCTGAAAGTATATTTCTTCATTGATCAACACAATTTGAAGTACTAGTTTTTACTTTAAAAAAAGGTCAAATACTTTGCAACAAACATGCCTCCTCCATCATTAAATGACATTGCTAAGGTGGTAAAATTGCTTGAAATGGCATTGCTAAGGTGGTAAAATTGCTTGAAATGGTATTGCTAAGGTGGTAAAATTAGTCAGTTTGGTGTACTGGTTAAGGCACTGGGCTAGAACCAGAAGACCTTGAATTCTAGTCCCATCTTAGGCACAAAAGTCAGCTGCACGACTGTGGGCCAATCATTCTATCAGCCCTAGAATGGAGGCAATAGGAAACCATTTCTGAAATATTGCCAAGAAAACTATAGAGATTAAACCAGGCAGTGATCAGAATTCCACCCTGATTTGAAGGCACAAAACAAAAGCAATGAAACATGCTTCACCATTTGCAAATACGAGGTAGTCCTCCAATTGGAACCAGTACTTCCATCACAAAGTGATGCAGTCATTGAGTCACACCAGTTCTGTAATCTTTTTTGCTATAGGTGTTAAGCAATTCTGATTTTCCCCATTGATTTTGGTTGTCAAGAGGCCCTCTGGGAAGGTCACAAATGGCAATCACCCAATCCTGGGATGCTGCAACTGTCATAAATACAAGCCATTTGCCAGTTTGAATTGCTATGATGGTTTAAATGCAAGGATTGTTTGTAAGTCATTTTTTTTCAATACCATTGTAACTTCAAATGGTCATTAAACAAATAGTCAAGAAGTAACCATATAAACTTCCATTTATTCAACAAGCATATAGAATGGGAAATGTTTAAGTTGCTTTGAGATACTGTACTACATTTTTAAATGGCATTATTTAGATGTTTGATGGTGCAAAAAGTATTATTGCAGAATGTAAGCTGTTCGATGTTGGCTTTTGCAATTGATATATGATGATTTTGTCAATGCTAATACTGTTCAAGGGGAGATCCAGATGTTCTGGGATTGCACCCTTTCTATATTGGTACTACCAGTATGTTTGCTTTCATTTTGCCAAGTCCAGTCTGAGCATCTGGCTGGCTGTACAATGAACCAAAATAACACCATTGCCATTGACAAAATCACCATCAGTCAACTGCAAAAGGCAGGTTCACCTGGAACACCTTACATACTACGACAGTATCTTCAGCATCATCAAACATCAATATCTGCCTATTGTAGGTCTTTGGGAAGGACTCAATAGGTGGATAAAAATATCTAATCTAATCTGAACATCTGGTTGTGTGATGAACCATAATAATATTTTATATTTTTCTGAACAAATTTATGAGGAAACCAAACACAGCTCCCTGATAATTAGTATCTGTGTGAAACTTAAATGAATCCATACAGCAAAGTCATTAAACTCCGTTGGAAAATTTGATATCAATTATGTAATCAGACCAAATCTTCAGCAAAATTTTAGAATGAAAAAGTGATACCAGTTTAAGCTATAAGATTTTGTATTACTGGAAGTGTAGATGATATACATTTACTTCAAGCCAAAACCAGACTCATCGTATTAATACTAGTTAATTTTAAAAGTAGAAATTGTATCTTTTTTTTTTGCAAATGATAGTTTCTAGTGTGTCCTACTTTCATTCTTGCACACAGGTAATTGATAAATCCAATAGTTCAATCTTATTTGCAATAAAAAGTGTACATCCTTGTTTGTACAAACAGTTTTGTTTCTTTATCCATTTTTCAAATACTCACTGACTAAATCATGTTGATATTTACAGAATTTCTTAAGAAACTGAAGATACTGGTCCAAACAATAATGGAATATTATATGGGAAATATTTTCACTTACAATAATTAGATTATTACCCACAATTTAGTTTGTATGATTTCTCATAAAATGTGCAATTATTAAAAAGAAAAATAGGTGAATATATGTTTTCTTATAATTGGCTAAATGTGTAGTTACTTCATATCCATCATCCCAATCATATGCACTGTTTCTGCTTCTTTCAAGCTGGGGTGAAACAACTATACATTGCTGTTTTCTTCAACCAAAAAACTATTAGTTTTACTTGTGTAAAATTTCATCATTTAAAAAACCATTGCATATATGTACTTTTGTGGCACAATTACTTTGTATACAGGTCATCCATCAGAGAAAACAATAGAGCTGATAGAGATTACTATAGAAAATTATATAGAGAAGAAAAATAGCTTACTGTCTGTTGCATTTGCCTTCATAGAAAACCACTCTATATAAAAAAATAAGCAGAGCTACCCATTCACAGAATGATGGAGATCAAGATTATTTGAGTGTATAATACACAGGTAGTCCTCAAATTACAACCACAATTGAGGCCAAAACTTCTTTTAAATGAGACATTTGGTAAGTTTTGCCCCATTTTAAGACCTTTCTTGCCACCGTTGTTAAGCAAATAACTGTAGTTGTTAATAACACAGTTGTTAAATTAACCTGGCTTCCCCATTGACTTTGCTTGTCAGTAAGTTGCAAAAGGTGATCAGATGACTCCACAACACTGCAACTATCATAAATGTGAGTCAGCTGCCAAGTGCCTGAATTTTGACCACATGACCATGGGAATGTTGCATCGGTTGTATGAAAAACAGTCATAAATCACTTTTTCAGTTCCATTGTAACTTCAAATGGTCAGTAAATGAACTGTTGTAAGTCAAGGACTACCTGTAAAAGGGCGAGTATTTACTCTGTTCCCTTTTCTTAAGTATATCAACAAAGCAGATAATTGAAACAGTATGGGAATTAGGGTAAAATTAATATAAGTATTACTACCAGTAGTCAAAGGAGAGCTTACAGTGTAAATATTAGTGATCAATCAATCAGTAAATGAAACAAAAAACACTTATTTTAACACATCAGTGCTCTTTATATCCTCCTTCCTGACATTTATTGATATTAAAAGAATTCTCATTTTATTCTAATATCAATAATGGGAGAAAAGCCATATGTTTAGAGAGAGCCAAAAAAATCACAACAATTCTGAGCAAAAAATTATAAACTTTCATATTTGCTTCATTATGTTTTCATATTTCTTCTTTATCCAGCACTCTTGCTTTCTAGCATGTTAGTATCCAATTTTAACTGGATCCTTTATAATCAAGCCTCTAACTACTTTGATAGGATTACACATTACTCAAAACTGGATTGCTTTGATTTGTATCTAATAACACAAGAGCTACCTGAAAATCACTGTTGATTTCAATGAGCCATACCCCCCACATTAATGGGATCAGAACTGTCGCCTAAAATGGGAAAAACCTTCAGCTAAGGAAAACTGGCAGTTTAAATTAAGATCCATTATGTCAGAAGAACAAACAGCATCTGACATCAACTTAAAGGCATTATTGAAGGTTATTACCAAAGTCATTCTTAGTTTCTGAATCTATTTTTCATGTTTTGCAATTTTCTGTTTCATTTTATATCAATCCACATGTTCTATTATTGTGTATTCAATATTTAAGCCAAACCTGTTCATTTTCAAGGTTTTTAAAAGAAAAAATACAGTATCTGCAGAGACTTTCAGTACAGTCATGAAAACTTTTATTTAACATTTCTTTATCCGTAAAATAACTGAAGCAAATTCCTAATGCCCACCAGTGATGGGAAGCATGCAAGATGCTCAGATTGTGAAGTTTTCTTCAATGTTTAAGTCACAATGAAGCCTTCATCTTTTTGTATGACAGAAAACAGCAGCTGATGAACCCTGGGGAACATGTGCCAGCCGTCTTTCATTTGTTTTATTGTCCAAGCAGTAGATTGGTAGCAGCATTTTAAAAAGCAAGTTAAAGCACTGAAGTCAATCTCAGCACTGTTTTTCAGTTGTAAACAAAATTTGAATTATGGAGGGTTTCATATTAGATACACATAAATCAATTCTGGTTTTACATAAATTGGTGTGAACTTTTAAGTGAATACATAATTTGAGTCAAATGTTTATGTTCTCTTCAATATTCAGTTCTGAAGAGCGAAGAGATCCATTTTACATAATAGGCAGCGGTATATTACTTGTAGAAGATATTCAATGAGTTAAAATAGTGCTTTATACTGGATATGGGATAAACGTTGCAAACTAGACAGTTTTTTTAAAATTAACATTCATTTTAAAACATTTGAAATTGCAGGCTTAGGTAAGGACTGAACAAAAGTAGGTTTTTATACCAGCCAGAACTTTTTAAGTGCACATCATAATATATCCAAGAAATGTTTCATAAACTTAATTCTTATTAGTCTCCTATAAATAAGTTAAGTTTCTTTTTGCTACAAAACTGTTACAATCTGTCAATAGTGTGCATAGCTTGAATGCTACCATAAAGTAAGTACTCTAAAAGATATACATTTCACTGGCAATAAGCTGGAGACAGCTGAAAGCCTGAAATAGTCTGAGTTCCATAGTAACAATCTGTAGAACTGAGTAATATTTGTCATCCACTTATTTTATTTCTTCCCTCAAAGGGTCTTAAAACAATTTTAAATCTGATTAAATTTTATTTGTGTTCTCTGGCATTTTCTGTTAAGAAATTGCAACTGTTTTAAATTTTTGTCCTTTGATGAATACATTCCTTCTAGTGGTATGCACACTTCAACAGCAATTGGCTGCCTAACAAAGTTCCTTTAGGCATACCAATAGAACCCTGTCCAGTTTTGCCATTTGTGGAGAACCGATGACAAGATACAAAAGCATGTGTTCGCCATAAATAGCTTTGGCTAACGGAGGACTGCTCGTACAGAGCAGATCAAATTCTCTATATGGAGTGTAGTGTCTGGCTTTTAGCCAAATGTTCCTGATGCAAGACTCAGTAGCAGCAAAAGCTTTCAGACCTATTTGTACAAAAGTTAACTGGAAAACAGCTGCGCTATGACTAAACAAAAAAGTAGAACATGAAATACTATAACACAAAAACTGGGGAAAGTAACTTGAAATAACACTCTAGGTTAGCTAATAATTTTTATTGTAAGTTTCTGAAACAGGACAAGTTGCTGGACTAATTGTTTCCTAATAATGAAACATATTAAAGCAATCATAGATTTGGGAAGGAAGGTTGCATATTCAAATCATTGTAAGAGCAAAATCACAATGTAATAGATTAGTGATTGAAGTGGAATATATACTAGAGGGATGGGAAGTAATACAAAATGCATTTGTATATGTTTGTATATTTTCCCATGAAAACAAAGGGGTATTCTGTAATAAACTACAGGTTTTATTGCAGCGTGGTGATTTGATATTTGATTTCAAAATCAGAATTTCATTTACAGTTCCTTTATATAGAAATTGCCATTATGAATTATGCTTCACAAAATATATATAGGTTGCAAGATCTGCATGGTAAACAATTCCTACTCTTGTTCAGTAGCATATATTTCAGAGGGGGGGGACAACAAAAAGGCACAATTACAGTTAGTTCATTTAACAGAAATGAGGACCAAGATACAACAGACTGATGACACAATTCCATAAATTAATTGGCATTCTAGGGAGATGGAAGAAGAAATCAAACATGTTACAAAAAGTGCTTAAAATGCATAGTGTTAGGTGCTGCCATGTCACAAAAAATAGGCTTATAAAGGCATGTGAGGTGTCTGAATGCACAAGAACCTCATGGAATTGCAAGTGCAACTGTAAAGTAAAACTGAATAGAGTCTCATGTGATCATTGGACAAGAGTTTAAAGGCAATCAATTAACTTAAACCTTTTCTTTTTGCTTGGCTAGACTATCCACATCAACTATCACATTCATTGTACACATTTGCAAGAAATGCCTACGGTTTGGGCTAAAATATATGGAAGGCATTCCATGGATTCTACATAAAACTACCAGGTTTAAAAAATAGTCTAATGATGGTCATTTGTAGACTGTTAATGATATCTCCTTTAGGTATTTGGATTCTGGGAAGATGGGGCCAAAAAAAGAATTAGTATTATTCCAACTGAATAAGCTGCAAAAATGGAAGCTCCAGATGGCACGTGCCTGTCCTTTTATAAGGGTTTTCCTTCAAGTGAAACTACCACATTGCCTCCTAGTTTATCTCCCAGTGTTGAACGATCTTTAATATCTTCATAACCATTTACCTGCCATTCGTGCTTAATACCTGGAAAACACAAATGAAAATACATATGTTTTGTTTTGTTCTGTATTTTAGTGGCATTTTTTAAATAAAGTTTTGAAAAATAATGAATATATAGAAATTTGTCTGCTTCCTTGAGCAGAAATTTAAGAAGGATTAGTCTGAATTCAACTGCTACTAAATTCAAAACTGTCTTATGACATGTTTTCTACTCATACCTGTAAATTTCTTTTTTATGGCATCTTTAGAGCTTGCGTAGATCATCTTTGATTTTAAAGGGGCATTTTCTGGGGCCCTGCAGAGAAGAGGAGAAATTGGTTAATTCAGCTCTAAACCTTGGAAAGTCAACTGTGTTTTTAACAGTAATCCTTTGACTTACACACCAGAATATAAATACTAGATCTTCCTTTTTAGATTCCTTTGTTTCATATGTTGCATCATACAAAGCATATCGGCAATCATTCAGTGGTAACAGCTTCACAAAGGCTACATAAGGGTCCTCGACTGTGACACCAATGTCACCAACTAATATCTGCTTTGCTTCTTCTACAATTATTTGCTTCTTGTCAGCACTTAAACAGAAAAGAACTGCTTTCTTTCTTTTTTTAATTTCTTCTGATGTTGACGATTTCCGTACTTTCATATCATTGAAAACCTTGATAACTTCATCATTCACTGTTACCCCAGAAGCCTATAAAACAAATTGAAATAATATTTGTTAATATAAACTGAATCTGAAGACATACTAATAGTAGCCCTATTGAATTCAGTAATATTTACCTCAAGGGAGATATGCATAGAATCAAGCTGTGAGAATCTTGTAACTTGGTCCCCAGTGAAATTTGAAAAATTTTGAACACTCTTTGAAGTGTAATATTTGCTAATGTTATGTGCAGTTATTTATGATTAATTCCTATCAAATTCAAAGAAATGTTAATATCCAGAAAATGGTCCTAATATTATACAGGCTTTGCCCCCAATGCTATAATACCTGAATATTCTAGTTCTGTTCAGGAGGCAGAATAAATGTATCTTGTATTGTATCAGGATTTATGTTATGTCCTTAAATTTTAGTTAATAGTATTCTGTATATACTTCACTGAAATCACTACAGGATGAAATAACCAAGTACAGAATGTACAGTTACACTGAAGCTCATTAAAGCTTGCACGAGCCATGCCTAAAAGAATGTAACTCACACCATCTGACTAAGAGGAGGTGTTTCTTAAAGTCGCAGTTATTTAAAGCCATAAATATTTTTTCCAGCTTTCATTCAATTGCAGAGAATGAAATGAGGATGCAAAATTTGCAGGAAAGATATATGAAATTTTCTGAATTATATTTAATATTAAATATTATGCTGGAATGAGCCTAGTGGACAGCAACCCACACAGCACAAGTTTAATATATAAAGAATACCCCAAAATGTGAGAAATAAGTCAAACTATACTTGCAGAAACCTTATTTTCATGTAAACAAGTCCCTGCCCAGAAATTAGGCTTTAGATTTACACCTTTTCTTGAGAAACAGCAAGGAACACATAGCACTTCCCTTCTCCAGTTTTTCCTAGAGATTTCTCTCTCCTGGGGGCTGGAGTGGGGGAACCATCTGAAAAATAAAGTGCTTCAAAGAAACCTAAAGAGCTTTTGTGGTCCAGATTTTATTTTATCACTTTAACCCCTACATCACACTACTAGGGATCCATGAGTGCACCCGTCAAACAGCACAAACTCAAGCTGGTATTTATTCATGTTTGTCTTTAACACACAAAGAGATGTGTGGTTATATGTTTTTAGTTGATGTTTTATTGCACAAAAACAATTCAGTTATTCACTTATAGCCACACCAAGCATTATTTTGTAAACAAAATATAATAGTTATCTGTGTTCTCTTTTACAGAATGAGAACCTTTCCCATTTTCCTTCTCTACTGTCAGAAAGAAAATCGAGCCTTTTGTGTACACATACTATCTAGCACCAACAGGAACAGCTGTATAATAATGTCATTCAAATACAATCAGGACATTCCTGCCATTCTGTTGGATTTTCAGCCACATACTGGCAGGGGCAGGCTCTAATGGGCAGTGTTATCTAGAATAGATTAAAAGAGTAAAGATGACCCCCCCCCCCACACACACGTTTAAATAACTCCTGAAATATAAGCAATCCATACGTGGTGAATGGTATATACTACTGTACTCAGCTTTCCCAATGAGGGGGTGCTTCTGCCCCAACATTCTGATTAATTAAGATCATCTAACAAAGGAAAACAATGGTTTTATCCCATGTTCTTCATCCAGAAGCAAATAAGCTAGTGCCACCACGGAGAGGGGAAAACCCAGCTATGCGTCATTCCATCACACCTGCCTTCCAGTTAAGAAACAGCTTTTTTTCCCCCAGTTAGGCAAAAAAAAAAAAGCTGCATCTTATCACACATAATGTGCCAGTAGACATGCCGTTTATAAGATGGAAGTCATACAAAGGATCTTATAGACGTATATTTTCCCACCAAAAAGGGGAGACGAAAGCACAGAAAATGTTCGTCTCTCTCTCTTTTTGGGGGGGGGGGAGGGGGGGGGGAGCCCAAGTCATTTTGTTTCGTCCGTTCTCCCTCAGGTATCCTATTAGAAGAGGGAATATTCATCTCTTCTCCCAAATCTACCCAAAAAGAAAAAGAGTGGATAAAGTCAACCCGCCCTTTTTTATTTCCCGCATTACACGCCAATAAAAAGGGAAAGCGAATGAAACGAATCCTTTCCGGGCAATCAGGGGGTTCGGTTTCATCCTATCCGCCCCACTGCGTTTCTTCTGCCCCCGTCCTCTATCTAGAAGGCAAGGCAAGTCGGTGAGGGGAGAAGCCAGTCCCGTTATTTGGGTCCCGTCCCGTGACTCCAAAGGGCCAAATGCTGCTGCTATTTGAGAGAAAAACCTTCCCCGCTGTACCTAAACGGGAAGGAAACCAGCACGAATCGCGTCGCTCCCGGGTATTTTTCCGCGTCTCTCCGCGAAAGCGTTTCGATCGGGGGAGAGAGCATTTCTTCAAGACCACGACAGGAGCCACCGAGGGGCAAAGCCTCCTTCACCGGCGCTCCCTTTTCCCTTCTCTCGGGGACGGCCGAGAGCCCTGTCCACCCGCCCCCCGGCGCCCCCCAGCTTCCCCCGCGGCCTGCGCTGGGGGGTCGTCCGCCGCCACCCCCTCAACCTAGGCTAAAATTAGACTAAAATGGCTGCCAGGCGCCGCCACGGGGCTCGCTTCGCCCCTCTCGCCCTCGGGAGCCTGGTCCAGTCATTCCGGCGGAGTCCGAGCGCCGAGCGCTCAGGCGCGGCAGGTTGCTCCGCGCTCTTACCATGGTGCCCGGGCTGGGTGGCGGCGCGGGGGATGGGGGTGATGGCCGCTTGTGCCGAGGGAGCGGAGTCGGACTGGCGCTACGGAGCCCACCACGGAGAAGGCAGGCGGGCAGAAGAGAGGCGATCGGCGGGGGGTTCGAGGGGAGAGGGAGGCCGGTCACATGGGCTTCGCCTTCCCTCACCACGTGCTCCAGGCCCTGCCCAGCCCTGCGGAGAAGCCAAAATGGGGAGGGGGAAAAGACTGAGGGCTCCCCTCCTTTTTTGACGTGAGAACTTCACCAGAAGGGCGCTTCGGGGGTGAGGGGGAGAACGGGGTCCGCCTCGGGCTTCCTCAGGGGGAAGGAATCCCTGCTGCTCCGCACTACATCCCAGGAGGGCATCCTCTCCTCCTTCGCCCTCTTTTGGCCGACGCCATCCCTCCGCCGTCCAGCGGGCCAGCACCGGAGCACGGATGAGGCGTTGGCGGCGGCGTTGGCGGCGTTGCCTTGCAGCCCACTCTGCGGCTTGCTCAGCTGCCCTTGCGCTTTTCGGTTGCGCGGGGCGCGGCAGGTGAGACGGGTCCTGTCGCACTTTCGGCCCGCCCCGCGGATAGCGGCCACCGCCGCTCTCGGCCGTCCCGTCCTGCGACGGGCTGGGCTGTGTTTGTGTGACTGACTGCAAGGGCTCTCTGCTCTTGGAGCCTCGGCGCTGGGTCCTGGAAGAGATGGCTGAGAGGAGGCGGCGATGGCGGCTGCAGAGCAGTTGCTCCTGGCGCCGCTTCCTGGCCGAGCTTCTCTGAGCGCACCTGCTGAGGTTGGACCGCCTTGTTAGGCCAAGGAAGCGGCCAAAAATGAACCCAGGACGAATCTGTCGCAGCCGAGGGGCCGCCGCCGCCTGATATAAAAAGGAGAGTGAAGAGTGGGAACTGGAGAAAGAGCCGAATGGGAACGAGCTGTTCGTGTTTCGCGGGCAGTAGCGTTTGTGTTTGAGGGTATACAGTGTAGTAACTCCGCTACTTCCATGGGAAAGACCCAAGACCAATTTATAAGGTTTTTACAGGTCCCTAGATCAGGAGTGGGGTGCCTGGCCCAGCTAAAGAAGAATACCGAAATTCAAGACAACATGGAAGAAGCTGCAAGGTGTCCTGAACCATATAAGTGTAGTAGCGTGTGAGACTCATTTGCTGAACAACCCTCCTGGGCATGCTTACCCATGGTTAATTTTACTATAGTTTATTTAATTAATTTTCCTGGATTCACTAACCAGTTGCTGACTTCACACAACATGTGTTTGGCTAATTGGTGATTCAGAGTCATGCAGTGACTATCAGGAGCTCATGGGGGTCTTGAGAATTACGCTGTAGAAGCAGTTGAATAACAAAGCTGATGAAAGGGGGAGTCTGTGAGAGGAATGATTTTCACAGCAAGGTTAAGTGGAGTTGAACGTGAGTGACAGAGCCTACTTCCTTCTCCACAAACAAGAACAATTTAGTAATAAATGCATTCTTGATGAAAAAGTCAATCAAAAGTTCCTCTGTGTCAGTGTGAGAAGATAATAAAGCATCTGTTCTAATATTTTGAGAATTGTCATATCATGCACTTGGCTACCAAGTGTGAATGTTATTTTCAGTATTGTTTTTAGGCATCCGACACAGAAAAATATTCTCAACATTTTTATATGGAAAATCAGTATCTTACTGTAAATTATAAATGAATGTAAAGAATTATCAAGAAGTGTTAGAATACTGTTTCAATGGACGTAACTTGAAAAATATAGTTTTACAGTTTGACATTGGTTACAACCAGATTTACATTATTTTAAGAATGACTATTAATATATTTAATGTTGAAGTCAGCTTAAGAACTTTTAAGATTGCTCAAAGTTGGCCAAATAGATGTTAAAAACATAGATACAATGTTATACAAATATTCATCATTAACTGAAATAAAATATCATTGTACTGTGGAATTTAGTTCTAGGATTAGACCTTGTTTTTAAATATGGGAAAGATAGATGACACTGAGATTTGTGTGAAAAGTAGCATTTATTGAAACTATAAGTTGAAGTTCTATATTGAATGACATGAAGCAGGTGATTGCTTTTTAATGAAATATACATTCTGCTATTCCAAAGGTGCTTTTTCCAAAAGGCAACTGGACTTTCTTAGGTTTATCTTTGAAAACATTTTGCTTCTCATCCAAGAAACTTCAGTTCTTCAGTCCAGTTGCCTTTTGGAAAAAGCACCTTTGGGACAATCGTGACCTGGATGATTGAGAATCGCCATAGATATATATTTTGTTAATTTTTCTACCAGAGATTATTTTCAGTTACAAAGAATTATATATAAGTTTGAGTTATAATAGTTTGGGAATTCTAATGCAGAGCTCTGAAAATAGACCAATCTAATTCTTCCAGTCGAAAGAGGGTCCAGAATCAATAGCTGATTGGTCAATGCCAAGATTCAAAACTAATTTCAGGGGCAAAAACATTTAATTAGGTAAACATTCATACCTTATACCATTTATGTCATATGAGAAAATTTTCCTTTTAAATTAAACATGTCCATATATTTTTTCATTTTCTTTCAACTTAAAATAATGAAACAAAAGATTTTATATAACAAGAAAGAAGATACTGGTTATGTAGTGAAGAAAAAGAAAAAAAACCCTGTATTTATTATAGTGATTAAGATAAATCTGAGGAGCCATCTCTCCCTGATAGGATGAGCCTACCGTTCTTGTGCCAGTGGAAGAGGCCTGCTATGGATTCTTGTCTCCTAAGAAATTGAAGCAGGAGGGGTCAAGGAAAAGAGCCTTTTCTGGCTCCATCCCTGTGGAACATTCTACCACTGCAGGTAAGAACTGCTCCCTCCCTTTTGGCCTTCCAGAAGGGTATCAAAACCTGACTTTATCAGCTGGCCTGGAGCCCGGGGGGGGGGGGTGCTCACTGCTGGAGGTGGCTGCTGGGCTAAGACATTATCCCTGTTCAACCCGGCACTTAGGTCTCTTCAATTTAGTATAGGTGGTCCTCAACTTACAACCACGATTAAGCTCACAATTTCTGTTATGAGACATTGGTTAAGTGAGTTTTGCCCCATTTTTTGACCTTTCTTGCCATAGGTGATAAGTGAAACAGTCCAGTTGGTAAGTTAGACTCGGTCCTCCCCATTGACTTTGCTTGTCAAAGGGTTGCAGGTGATCACATGATATTGGGACACAGCAATGGTCAGAAGTATGCACCAGCTGCCAAGTATCTGAATTTTGATCACATGATCATGAGGTTGCTACAAAGGTTGCAACTGAAGAATGGTCCTAAGTCATTTTTTTAGTTCCATTGTAACTAGTCACTAAATGAACTTGTAAGTTGAGGGCTACCTGTATAATTCTTAATAATATTTTAATTTTGTGTTGTTTTAATCTTTTAACTATTTTACTTGTTGTATAACCTACAAGCTGCCCAGAATCACCTTAGAAGGGCGGCATAAAAATTAATAAAATAGGATATAAGGAAAAACCTAAGAGAAAAATGATTTATAAAGTTAAAGTTCTTAAGCTTATAATTAAATTGGTTGTAATAAAATCTAGACCACATAACAACATATTGTAACATCTTATTTCAAATAATATTTCATATTATTTAAAAGTAGATAATCTTAAATCTCCATATATTAAAAAATGTGAGAAGGAAAAGATTGGAGGTCCTTTATCTGAGCCCTGATGTAAACCTGTTTCCCTGCTCCCTGTTTTTTTGGGAGGTCCAATCTCTGGGGAGACTAGAAATTGCTTGATTGGATTATATCCCCCCCCCATCCCACCCTTATACTCCGGAGTCTTCACGGAGAGAGCCAGCTTCTCCCCTCCTCAGCATCCCCAGCCCCATGGCTCTGTCCCAGAAGCAGGCACCATTTTTGGACTGGCCTGAATGTATTCATGGTGCCTACTTAGGGCTGGACCCATATGGCAGAGGGGTGGAGTGGCCTACTCTTCTTCCCCAATGATAGCTCCAGAACTCTACAGATGGTAAGAAGGGAGAGATAGGTAAATGGTCATTCATAAATGTGAATCTACCCAAAATTTGTGCATGTGACTGTAAAGCTGCTGCAGCAGCCACAACTTTGAAACCAGATTGTAAGAAGCTTTTGAGGGAGGGGTGTGTGTCTGCCATAATTTTAAGAGTTACCTGTACATGGTTACCCGTACATGGTATTTATGAAACAATTTGTGATTCATAAAACAGATATGGAAAGCACAGTAATGGCCAAGACAGGAAAGATCAATTTATATTCCAGTAACAAAAAATGAAAATGCTGAAAATACTCAAACTACATAATAGTTGCTCTTATCCTACAGTTTTTGTGATTCACACTTCAACAATCCATAGAATGAAACTAGTAAATGCACAAAAGAAAAAAGAAAACATAGAAAGTCACATTTCTAAAAACAAGGATTTAGTGGGCCACCAGTTACTTAGTGAAGAAATTTTACGATTACCAGGAACCAATAATAGATGAAGTAAAAACAGAATCCTGTGTCAAAGCACTAAGAACAAAGTAAAGTGTACATGTTTAAATTAAATAATACAAAACCAAGATTTGCTGGAGAAAATCCTGATGACTGAAGGCAATTATAAAAAATGCTGACAAAGGGCAAGATGGTCAGATATCAAGAGCGATGACACAAGGATCAACTTTCAAGAATACAATGAAACAAGGGAGGATGGGTTGGATTATGTGCCATCAAGTCTTTACTAATAG